ATTAAACAAATACAAATACAAAATCCCACTATTCAACTCAATTCGGTTCGTTTACAACCCTAGGTAATGATATATAAATTTTGTATGCCGAAAGTTTTGATGCGGCATAAGTATGAGAAAAATATCCATTATACCATACCGAACCACACCTAGACCAATACCCGAAGATTCAGAGGTGGGGGGCTTGCGAACACTCTACCTATTTAATAGATAATGAGAGATATAAGAGTAGGAGAGCTATACCGAAGCCTACTCAACATAAAATAAACTCTCCCCGTTCTCAAATAATTGTTTGTATTCTCTTATTTGGGATGTTTTTAATTATTTCTCTCTTTTCCTTTTGAGTAAGTTTTTTCAATCAAAATACCTTTTATACCCCCACTTTCATTATCATTATGAGCCTGTTTGGATTTCAACGGGTGGAGCAAACCGCCATTTCTTTTACAAAGCAAAACGCTGCTATTAGCAGCGGATTGGTCACAAACCGCTGAAATCCAAACAACCCCTACCTCTTTTTAATTTTTACATACTACTTTCTCTTTCTTGCTTTATCATTACTTTAATGATCTTAATACGGAGTATATTCTATTTCCTACTTTTTCATTTGTCCTACATTAAAAACCAGCATCAATATTGTCACACTACTCCTATTTGGGGAAGAAAAACATAGCATTCATATTTTGGAATTTCCAAATATTTTTACTCTTGTTTTGGGAATTTTTCAAATATTTTATACTTAAAATTTGAACTATCCTGAAAGCTAAAATGTAAAAACATGAAATATAAACTCTTAAAATAAATATATAACATTAAAATATACTCCTTATAACATAAAATATGAAATATCTTAAAACATAGCATTCTATTTTTATTTTGGATGTGTTACAATTTTGATATTTTTTAATAGTTCAGGATTTGAGTTGAACAACTGTGACGGGTTCAGGGACTCATTTGAATTTTTCGTTTCCATGTCACCACTTTCCAAGATGATGTGGCAGATAATTGGAAGTTGACTCATAAAACGGAAATTTGAACATTTTTTGCTTGTCCAAATTGCAAATTGGACCTTTTTAAGGGGGTGTTTGAATCTACTTCATAAAACCACTTTTGTTCCTTAGGGAGCAAAAATAGATATTGGAGTGTTTGCCTGAAAGCGCACAAGTACTTATGAGTACTCCAAATTATCCCTAGAAGCATTTTTCTAGAAGCCAGGGGAGATCAACTTCTGAAAAACTGATTTTGATTCTGCTTTTGTTTTAAAAAAAGAAGCCGAAAGAGAATCAATTTCATACACCCCTAATTCAATGAGCCTATTTGACCCTTTAGCTTTTTCTAATTGTGAGTAATTATTTTAAATAAAGAAAGAATTACATAAGTATATCTGATAGAAATTAAAAGGAAACAAAGTAAAGAGATTCTTTAAACAAGTACTACGTATATACTTGACTTTCAACACGTGTTATTATCCGTTAAACTTGAGAGAATTCTCTAAATAAGACTAAAAGAAGGTAGAATTGCAAAAATAGGATTGCTATATTTTATTGGTCAAAAATATGACTAAAAAGAGTTAATGTGACAAAACTACCCTTAATGAACTCCAGTAGTATGTTTGCACCATTGATCCATTGATCAAACCACTGCACTCATCCTCCTGCATTGACGCAACACATATGCATTCTTCAACAAACCACTTTACTCGCTGCCCTTCGCTCAGACCGCCACCCTTTGATCAAACCACCACCACCACCCACCTACGAGCCAACATAGTCACTCTCCAACTAATTCATTTACTCTCTTTGGCGATTGTCATCTTGTAAAAATCATGACATTTTCAAAAAGTAAAGTTTTTTTAAAATTAAATTTGTGGCATTTTGTAAGAATTGTGACAGTATTAAAAAAAAGGGCAATTGAAATAAAAAATTCAAAATATGGGTAGAAATAGAAAAAATGAAAATTCAGTTAGAAAATGTCATCTTTATAAAGTTAGTGGCATAAAGCTGACATTGTTTTATCTAAAATTGGCATTGTTTTATTTAAAATTGACAACTCAATAAGTTCAAAATTTGAAAATTAAGTTGATATAAAATGACATTTTTCTAATTATCTGGCATTTTTAGATATGAAAAAGTGACATTTTTCTGAAAAAAGTAGTTATGACATTCTTATATTTTAAATTGATCAAAATTGATAAATAAATAAAATTTCAAACCCAACAATTTCCTATCAGTTGTTTTTCAAAGAAAATTGTTTTTCATCAATCTGAAATTTTCAAATCCAAAAAATTACTTAGAGTTTGAAAAGGCAGTAAATGAATAGAGAACACAGAAAACAGAGTGCAGAAGGTGGAAGAAGAAGAGGACGAGGAAGAGGAAGAAGAGGAAGATCTAGTTTTGCTAGAGAAATCGTTGAAGAGGCGGCAGACGGCGTTGAGCAGACAACTGAGATGTTCGCAGTCGAGATGCGATTGATTTCGTTCAAGCTGTAATCGCAAGTGTAGCGATCGATGGCAGAGGATTGGGGAAATGTGATTTTTGAGATAAAGGTTAAAAATGTAATCTAGAATCCTATTTAGGGAATTTAAAACTTCAAGTCCTATTTTGGAATTTTAACTATGTTTTAGTCCCATCTCGAACAATTTCTTGTCAAACTTCTATCAACCGCTCGACTTCCGCCTATGGAAGGAGCTAGGGTCATGATAGGCCATTCTAAATCTAAACATTGATATTCACTTTTTCAAAGAAAAAACACTTTATACAAGTTCAACTCAATTTGAGCCTTTGCCAAGTCAATTAGTGTTGACATCTAAAAGCATCTCCAATGTTACAATGTGCACGGTGCACATGTGACATGAGAGATAGTCACATAAATATTAGCAAATAAATTATCTCTTTTCTTATTTGAATAATTTTATACAACTTTGAAAAGTTTTTTTTTGCAATGTCAACATCTAAACGATTTTTTCGATATTGTGAAGAAAAACTTACCAAAATTTTATAGTCATTCAAATAAAGAAAGAGATATAATTTATTTACTAATATTTATGTGATCATCTCTAATGCTAAATGAGCACCGTGTCCTTTGTGACAGGGCCCACCCATCCCAGATCCTCGAATTTTTAAAAACAGTACGGAGTAATATTCTAATATAGAAATATATTAATAATATAAGTGAAATGCCATAGCGTGATGTTAAACAGCGATGAATTAGAAAAACAGGAGTGGACGTTGGTCCCTCATTAAGGTCTGTTGGTTAACTCAGTTTATTTTATTTGAATGTTTTTTTACAATTATTTGAATGTTTGATTAACAATGAATTGAATAACGGTTATTGTTCATCTCTTCATCAGGCTTTCGACTGTTTCAGTATTTATGTGTTTGACTTTACTATCAATACAAAAATTTAAATTTAATTGATTGTTTTTAATTAATCATTCTCAATTTAGATTAGCTTTCTGATTTTAGATTTCAAAAAAACAATTTCCATTTTTAAATTTTTTCACTTCATATCATTCTATTGCTTTATTAGTATTTGATTACAGTTTAGAGTTAAATTATTTTGGGTTGTTGTCAGGGTTTTTTTCGAAAACATCACTCAAACAAAAACAGTTTACAAAAAAATAACTGAAAATTTATGAATATAGAGCCCGTTTGGTAACATTAAAATTGGTTGAATTGGCTGATTCTGCTGAAATTTATGATGTTCTGGCTGAAGTGACTGTATTGGCTGATTTTGCTGATTTATGAAAAAATTATGTTTAAAATATTTGTTATTAATAAATTAAACAAAAAATTATATGAAAAATAGCAAAAATGATCCTCTACAGTAACTTCAGCCAATACAGCCATAAACGTAACTCTAACCTTACTTTTTCAGCTTATTACAAAATTCAACGCGCGAAACCAAAAGTTAAGTGTTTGGTGGAAAAACTGGCTGATAAGTCTGATAAGCCGAAAAAAGGGGTCACCAAACGGGCTCATAATGTCATGAAACTTAAAGTTAAAAGTACGGAAAAAATACTTGTGGTTGAGCCCGTTTTCAGATAGGGTTATGCGTTTCATTTTTATCAAAATGGTTCATGTGTTTGAATTCCGTTATCACAAGAGGATCACGCCGTTAAAAACGTCTGAGAAAGTTGGTTTTCTTAGATTTTCAAAATTGCCCAGAAAATTAAAAGAAAAATATCAAATGGTGCGCTTCGTCAAGATGACCTCCGAATCATCTTCTCCTTTGGATTTTTCGAATCTATTTGAATTATTTTTTAAAAACGATTTCACTAATATCACTTTTCCGGTGGACTTTCCGGTGGCCTAGCGGTTGTCTTGTTGAGGTGCACCTTCAAGTATTTTTCTTTTAATTTTTTGAGCTCTTTTGAAAATTGGAATTACTATTATTCATCTTTCTCAAACGTTTTTAACGGCGTGATCATAGTGAAATATGAAATTTTAAATTTATATTTTGCGTCACATTTATGTTCATAACTGGACATCATTTAAAGCTGATTGCTTTAAATTTAATGGATTTATTGAGAACAACGACTTAATCATTATGTCATTAAGTCTGATTTATTTACGATTTAATCGAAAGTATCATTTAATCATTCAGTAAAAAAATGACTTATCCATTACGCTGGAAAACAATAGTCTTTTCATTAAGATGTCGATTAAGACGTCTATTCCATCAATTTTTTAAACCCTAAAATCAATTTTGGAATAAATTTATGTTAATAGAACAAATTTGTCATTGAAATTATAACTTGAGAATAATATTGAATTGATTATTTTACTCAATTAAGATTGCTTATTCAGCACACAAAATAAACAACCTCGTATACAAATACTACTTAACCCAAATTGAAAATTTCTAATCTCTTTGTAATTTATAATTCTTGAAATCTGGTTAGATTTAATTTATAAGTAAAAACATGTTAGTTGTTAGTCTACTTAGTCATTAGTAATTAAATTAAATGGTTAATTATCTAAATGCAGTTGGTTTATTCGCTGGTGACAGGCTGTCACCAACAATGTAACACACTGATCCCCCCTCGTTTTCTTTCCATTCTTCACACCTTCCTCCGTCTTTCCCTTCCCCCCTCTGCAACCTCCCAGCTGTTGTCTCTCTCTAGGGTGCTTTATCTCTCTTAGGGTTTCGCACTCGTATTGCTGGAATCATCGGTTCGGCGTTCGTATTCCACGGATCCTCCCTCCCTGACTCGTAAGCTCTATTCTGATTCTGATTCCGTTCAGTCTTACTCTTGTTATGGAAGGGACTCTAGTTTTTCTCTGTGCATGTTGTCAGCAACGTGAAAGGAAATAGGACGATAATTTTGAGCTCGAATTCTTGCTAAGATATGTTCGGATTGTACAATGGTTATTCCAACAAAGGATGTCTGTCTTTGTATGTATTTTTCCCGTTGTGTTTGGTCTACTGCTATTACATTTGCCTGGTTTTGTTTTGATTATTCAATAGGGGAGTTGTACACATGCTTCATTCATATATTACTGCATGTTTGTCCCTCTTTGGTTTATTTTTTTCTTACCAAGTTTAGATTTAGACGTTTGAGTAGAAACCGAAATTGGCAGGTAATAAGTACTGCCATATTCGAAAAACACATTGCTCAGTGAATTTGATAAATTGGCTATTTTATGAGTAATGAAATGTTTTAAGTGTGCCTTTTGAAAAAATGAAGAAGAAAAGAGTTTGTGGGTGACAATTTACGAATGTTTTCAAAATTCATCTTTTTAAAAAATTGCTTTGATGGTTACTGGTATTATTATAGGTGCTCCCGAATAATATAATGAAGAAGATGAATGTTTGTATGAAACTTTATGATTGCTTTATCACATTGAAGAACATTACACGTTTAACGGTCTCTTTTTCTCAGCAACTGTTTCAATTTGTATGCTGCTTTGTGTTTGAAACTCTTACCAAAGATTATTTAGTATGTAATGATCTCAAAGTTACCTTGTTGAGTTGTTGTTCTGACACTCCTCTCATTGTGTAATCAAATTCTATTTCTAATGTGGGTTTTTAATCTTGCTGTTTTAATGTTTGAAGGTAATATCGCAATCTGCTACTGGTGACTGAAAATAAAGAATTAGAGAACACTAGACTGTGAGGAAAGGTTTGACATAAGATTATCATATGTTTTTTTTGGGGTTGAATTTTTCTGGCATCAATGCTGAAAGAGAAAAGCATGTGTGGAATTAGTGCTTTGGGTAATGTCCCATTTGAAGGTACTCGGTGATGCACTAGGTGCCTTAACAATTTGTCTCGTTTCCCTTTTGGTCGTTCTTGGTTTATTCTGCATCCTGTATTTGATATACTTCCACTCGTGGATCCGCGGTCAAGCTCATACCCAACTCGGCTATTTCAGTGGTCCTTGGATAGTCCGAGTCACATTAATACTCTTCTCGATCTGGTGGGGCATAGGTGAGGTTCTTCGGCTGAGTCTTTTGAGACGGGGCGGTGGGGGTTTGTTAAATGCTCTCAACGGGAAATTGCAAGAAACCATTTGCAAATGTTACATCGTTTCGAGTCTAGGGTTTGCAGAACCATGTTTCTTCCTCATTGTTGTGTTCCTTCTCCGTGCATCCCTACAGAAATCAGTGACATTGAACCAAAAATGGAACGGGAAAACTGCCGTTTACGTTCTTCTCTTTTGTCTCCCAATGTTTGTTCTTCAGATTTTTATCATTTCTATCTTACCAAAATTTAGCAAGGTGAAATTGCCTCACTACTTCACAAGAGCCACTTCACTACCTAAAGCAAAGGATAGTGATGACATCACTGTATGCACTTACCCTTTGCTAAGTACCATCTGCCTTGGTCTTTTTGCCGTCACGTTGACATGCTATTTGTTCTGGCTTGGGAGAAGGATCCTTCACTTGGTCATCAACAAGGGCTTGCAAAAGAGGGTTTACACTTTAGTCCTTTTGGTTTCGGGTTTCTTACCGTTGAGGATTGTCTTTCTAGGTTTATCCTCTTTATGTACACCGGGAGGACTGGTCTTTGAAGTTCTTGCTTTCTTGGGGTTTCTTTCCCTTTTATGTTGTGCGGGAACGGGCATATGCTTGCTTGTGTACTTTCCTGTGGCTGATTCATTAGCATTGAAGGAAGTGAAAAGAGATTTTGAGGCTTCGCATAACGACACCATTTCTTTAATTGCTAATCAAAGCCTTCCAGGAGGAAGCATCCCAAAAAGGCCTGGGAGAAATTTCGAAACGTCAGGAAAACAAGGTTCAATTTCATTTCGTACGTTGGAGAAGGATGACAGTGCTTCAGGCAGGGCCTTTGTGGAATTAAGCCTCTTCTCGTCAAGTCAGCATTCGAGCCCTCCCAGCTCAACTCAACTTCTTGGCTGCCCAATGCTCTCAAGTCTCACCTAGAAAAGTTCAACAAGTCTACGAGAGAACACATTTTTGAGGTGGAGAAATCTGTGTGTATAGATAGAGTCTTTAGCTTGATATAATAAGCAATGCTCTATTTTAGTTTCGCTTTGAAATACGCCACTGTATGATTTTATCGCTGCCACATAGCCCCACCTTATTTTTCAGTGGGGTTCCTGAGCTTGTCATTAGCTGCTATGTTCAAGGTTTGATTCCAATTCAATTCTAGTAGTCTAGCACTAATTTTTTATGTAGGCAAGAGAACTATATAAAGCTAGTATATGTAATGCGTATCGAATGAGTGACGTGTTTCTGTAAAAATTTGAGTCAGGTGCTTGATGTTTAGTTCATTTTCATTAAATCGTAGTTTGAAACAATCGTAGTGTATGTTTTGAAACAAAAAAAGTGTAGGTTGAAATAGGGATGGACTCGGTTTGGGCCGGGCCCGGTTCGGGCCTTGAACCGGCCGGGCCTCGGTTCAAGGTATGGGAGGCCCGGAATCGGCCCGGGTAACCCCCGGGGCCGGGCCGGGCCTCGGTTGTATACATTTTTTTTGGGCTTTTCCTAGTTAACCCCCAACCTTCACCCCCAAACCAACCCTAACCACCTCAAATGGCCCAAAATACCTAGCCCAACCCAAAAACTTAAAAAAATTCAAAAACAATAAAAAATAAAATAAAATTGGCTCGGCCTGGGTCCGAACCGGCCGGGCCGGTTCACCTTTTGAAGGGCCCGAGCCCGAACTGAGATCCCACCAGGCCGGGTGGCCCGAACCGGCCAACCAACCGGTTCATCGGGCCGGTCCGGTTGGCTCGGCCCGAGTCCACCCCTAGGTTGAAAGAATAAAATGATACTCTATCAAATCTTTGATCTTATAAAAAAGATGTTTTTAAATAGACTGAAATTATATGATCTGGTTTGTTTAGGTTTGATTTGATAGATGTCTATTTTATCTGTATTTTACTACTGTAGTTTGTAATATAAAGGATCATTTTTTACACTTCTTCTGTTCCCTTTTAATTACAACAATCAATATTTCACGTTTGACTGTTGTGAACTTTGGGAATAGACATAGGGCCTGTTTGGTACTTCGTATGTTGTAGAGTAAAGACATGGCGTGTAAAATGAAGGGGTGTAAGAAGATTACACCGTTTGCTTTAATTATTTGATAAACTATAGGGCATTTTTTTAAAACATTTTACACTATATCATGTAGGGGAGGATAGTAAACTATTTTACATTGCTAATAGGGATAAGGTTCAAATTGGACACTATGGTTTCATATGGACCAAATTAGACACTATGGTTTCATATACTTCGTATATCTCATATTGGACACTAAAGTTTCATAATTATAGTTTTTGGACACTCACTTATTTTGAATTATGAAACTTTAGTGCCCAATATGAGATACATATGAAACCATAGTGTCTAATTTGGTCAATTTGAAACCTTAATGTCCAACATGAGATTCTGATGAAACAATAGTGTCCAATTTGAGTTTTATCCCTTGCTAATATAAAAGACATCAATTTGATTTTTTATGCCTTAACCCTAAGGGAGTGTTTGCGATTGCTTCTACTTTAAAAAGGTGATTTTTTAAAGTGATTTTAGAAAATGTGTTTGATAGTAAAAGTTAGTAGTGTTTGAGAAAAAAGTGATTCTGAAAAAGTAAAACTCGGTAGTGTTTGACAAAAATCACAAAATACTCTGTAAGTGTTTTTTGTATAATAGAAAAAGTGAAAAGCTATTTAAAGCACCCTTCAACCTGCTTCCGGCTTTTAGCTTTTAAGTAATTAATTTAAGCAGAAGCTGTCGATTGAAAACAACAATTTCAATTTTTTTAAAGCCAAAAAATGAAAAACGCTTTTTTTAATTTGTCGCTAACATTTTTGCACTCCTTAATTTTGACGATTTGGTGGCGGCAATAGAAAAACCATGCCGGCAACTTAATCATGAACTTTCTCTCCTATATAATAGAATCACAACTAATACCACCATATATCTTCTGCAATCTGCACCTAAGCTGCGGCAAGAAACCAGATAGTAATTTATGTTTTGAAATGTTTTTTGCGTCTAGAAATTTATGTTTCAGGATTTAATTTTAAAACACATGATCAGCTATGTTTGGATATATCCTTGAAACATGAATGAAACGCTGATAGTTGAATTTGATATATTATTTTAACATACACACTTCGTATTATTTTAATACATTATGTTAATATAGTTTGTGTGTGATTTAAAAATAGGTTACACACATGACCAAACACTGTTTTTTTGCTTTACATGTAAAATTTTAATGTGCAAACTATCAGTCACCCCATACAAAGCAATTTGATTCGCTAGACAGTTGTCATAGTCTCATAGATGGTTAACCACATTTTGGTTAACCAATTTTCGGTTAATCGAGGTATCGGTTACTAAATTTTTAATACCACTATCCATACCATAGCATTGGTTAACCGCATATCAGTTAATCAAAGTTTCGTTTAACCACTAAGTGTGCGTTTGGTTCAAGAAATGTCAGATTACCATGATAATCTCATATTGCTGAGTATGTTAGATTGATGAGAATGTATTCACTTTATTCCCATTTCTGTTTGGTTAAGGTTAAGAGAATGTGACATTAATTTATTTGGTTAAAAGATATCTTATATTACAGATATGGTGGATTACCTCAATGCCCTTTAAATATTTTCTCTTAACACAATAAATCTATTACAACCTACGTCTGAAGTAATTAAAAATTAAACAAAAAAATGAAATATCTTAATAATAAATAAAATGAAATCTAATTGAATTATTTTTAAGTAGCTTTAATCGTAAAAGGTTGTAGATCCAATACAAAAATGAAAAAAACTCTGTTCAAATAGCAATCTAAATATATTTAGTATCACTTCAAAAAAATTAAATTTAAAAAATGTTCAAGTTATTCGTAAAACTTGTTTTCAAATTAAAGAAAAATGATCAATTTTGCCATTAAATTTTGGAATCCACTCATTAAAAACTTAAATAATCTATAAGAATAAATACCTTAAAAAATTTAAATGTTAAGGAAAAAAGAATTATGAAAACAACAAGAATAGACATTCGAATATAATTAAATAAACATACTTCATTCGTCACACTTCAAAGATTGTCACACAATCTAGATATTCGACTGACTATAAAATTAACAAATAATGACAAATATATAAGTGAAAAGAAGGTAATGGACACAAATATGACTTAGTGACTATAATAGTAACTTTATTGACCATGTTATTGTTCAACTTTATTTACATCACAATGACTATACATATTAACCGTAGTTATATTTTTATCCATAACTTATATTTTAGTAATATTTAAGGAAAACTCCCTAAAATTAACTGATCCCTGTCAATAATAAGATTATTTTTAGTAAATAAAAGTTACACATTTAGAAACTACATTAAAAGTTTTATAAAATCACAAAAATTCAAATTTGATAAAAGTTGAATACATAGAGAAATTAAATGAAAAACGATAATTAATTGAGGGTATTTTCGGAAGAAAATTAGATCATCCCCGGGAATGTCAGATAACCTAAGGCATGAAAGGGTATAACATTCTCCTCCATATTACATTCCCGGGAATGTAACTTTCCCGATCTTTTCTCAAAACCGTGAACCAAACATGGGTATCTAACATTCCAGATTTCCAGTCATCACATTCCGACCTCAATGTAAGATAACCTCAAACCAAACATACCGTAACGGTTAACCAATAAACCATAAATCATGAACGGAAAATATAAACTAGTCAATATTTTTGTTGTTTTTAAATTTTTAACTTGCAATTTTTTAAACGACCTCCATTATATATAATACTTTCAGAGTACAAAAAACTATTTTTACCTTTGACAAAGTTTGTTCAAACATATTACGTGGCTGATTGATTAACTATATGCCTCAACAAACATTAACTTATTGACAAGTTAATAAGAACTATAAATAGAAATAAGAACTTGGCGCGCTGATTGCTTGATTTGAACTCTAGTTGCCTCATTTGTTTCTCTATACTTTATAATGATAACAAATTCGTTCATAATCAGCAATCTTGTATTAAATTTTTTAAATGTGTAATCTGCAATTTGATTTTATTTGTACTTTGAACTTTGAAGGTCTTAAACTTTTGTATTTTTAATATAAAATTTGAACTTGGTTCTCAAAAATTCACTTACCAGTTAATCGGTGTTAACATAATTTCAACCGTAACCATACCATGAACCACTTTTTCTTTGTAATTGGTTAACCATACCGCGAGTTTTAAAAAATTCGGTACGATTAACCAAAAAATACCTCAATTTATCAGTTATTTTGTTCAGTTAATCGATTATGGGTTTTTTGCCCACCCTACTATAGACACAAAACGAGCAATTTAAAGTCTAAAACAATTGAGACTGAAATATTGTGTATCAAACGTACACCTGAACTCCAAATATCCAAATGAAATCTACTCAAACCAAAATAAAAACAACTACTCCTAATGGAAAAATAAAATTGAAATAAAGTCTTTCCACAAACTCTTCATGACACAGAAGTAGTTCTAAAGGAGGACGAACTCTACCAATGTTTACGCACTTTAAAAAAGGAAGATAGAAACTCCTGACTAGACGAAGCTAGCTGGATACCAACAGAACTCTCCATATCGAGAGAGATAAAACACTCTGGAGCACCAGTGCCTAGGAAAGAATCGAATTAGAAAAAAATCAATACAACCAGTGGCTGATCTAGAAATTGTTAGTGTTGGGGGCACCCGAGTTGGGTAAATCCGTCCCATAACACCTCGACCGACCACAGTGAATGCAAATTTGAATTATTTTATGGGTTTATGCATCTCTGATGCAATAAAATTACACTAGTAGTTTTCTGATGATATTATTTTCGTTCTAGTATCTTTGGATATTGATTCTATGAGGCACACCCTAATAATGTTTTTATTTGGATTGTTTTCAGTCACAGATCAGACCAAACTTTGATAGTTATAAAATGTATGGAGATCAGACATTTACCAGACCAGTTCAAACCAAATTAGACAAGATCGACAAATTTCAGTCCAATAAAAAACATCCAAGAAAGTAAGATAATGTGATTTTATTAAAAAAAATATAAATGACTTTGAGCCACATAAACATTACCAAATATAGTTCGAGACAAATTTACTGAGACATCTATAAATAAAATATGATTTTTAGAGAAATAGATGAAGAACCTTATTTGGTACTCTTGTGTATTTGAATAGCTAGTCTTGAGATTTTATTTTGTTTATAACCACTTTAGATTTCAAAATTTTAATATAAGTAAATTATTGCTTTTCAAATAGTACGTGGTAGTACTGGTACTTACATTGT